CCGAGGACGAGGTCGTGGTGTTAGCCGAAGTTGGAATAGAGGAGGTGGTCGAGGAATCTCATTCCAAAACCATAACAATAATAGAGGGGGAACACATGATCATCCAAACAAACGGATGAAAGAAAGCACATGTCACCGGTGTGGAATGACAGGACATTGGTCACGTACTTGTCGCACGGCTAAACACTTGGTGGACCTTTACCAAAAATCGATTAAAGAAGCGAAAGGGAAAGGTGTCGAGACAAATCATGTCATAAACAATTCGGATGATGATGCTGGTGGTGCTAAAGATTTTACACACATGGACCTCGCTGATGGTTTTGCGCATCCTGAAGATGGCGTTGATTATGAATAAAAAGCCATATATATAGTTGTAACGTTTATATATGTAATCAACCTCGTAATAATCCATATATGCATAAATAATGCGTCTACATTTTGTAAAATAGTTATGTATCTGTGTCATCATTTCTGTTAGTCATAATGTTATAATATATTTTCTAATGTTTACTATGTTATTTTGTTCTTCAATAGATAATGAGTATGGCTAAATCTGCAAATCGAGGAAGAGATATATGTTTAGCAGATAGTGCTACAACACATACAATACTAACAGACAAGAAATATTTTTCTACTCTGAAAATAAACAAAGGAAATGTCATTACTATATCTGGAAATGCAATTTGTATACCCCTTTTCTCGATACTGTTGTTGGAGGATAATGTTCGAGGCGTGCATAGTTGAAAAGGTTTTTTCCAACATCTCATTTTCGCTAACTGTTTCACCACATAATTTCAAAACTGATGTGATTCGGTACATCGCCGAGTTATATTCACTGACAGTTTTGAAATAATCTGGCATTTGCCCGATTTTTAGCCCAAATAATTAAATTAAGGGCTCAGTTCTCGGAATACTCAATCAAGAAAGTGAGGCTTGATAATGCTGGAGAATTTACATCACAAGCATTTAATGATTACTGTGTAGCAATGGGTATTGATGTTGAACACCCAGTTGCACACGTTCATACACAGAATGGATTGGCAGAGTCATTAATCAAACGACTCCAGCTTATTGCTAGACCATTGATAATGAAAACGAAACTTCCCATTTCTGTGTGGGGTCATGCCATTTTGCATGCTGCAACATTAATTCGTATTAGACCAAGTGCATATCACAAGTATTCTCCATTGCAATTAGCATTTGGTCAAGAACCTAATATATCGCATCTCAGAATATTCGGATGCGCAGTATATGTACCGATTTCCCCACCACAGCGTACAAAAATGGGACCACAAAGAAGGCTTGGAATATATGTTGGGTATGACTCACCATCCATTATACGATACCTTGAGCCAAAAACTGGAGATATTTTTACGGCTCGTTTTGCTGATTGTCAATTTAATGAGAATGAATTCCCACCATTAGGGGGAGAAAATGATAGAATGGCGGGAACTAAAAATGATCTTAATTGGTGTACACCATCATTGTCACATCTTGATCCCCCGGCAAAACAACGAGAACTGGAAGTTCAAAGGATCATACATTTACAAAACATTGCAAATCAGTTACCAGATGCTTTTGCAGATACAACTAAGGTAACAAGATCATATATAGATGCTGCGAATGTCCCAGCTCGAATCGAAATTCCGAAAGAACAAATGAAAGAAAATGTAATAAACGATTCCAAAGCACGCCTGAAGCGTGGACGACCTATTGGTTCTAAGGATAAAAATCCCCGAAAGAGCAAAGGGCCCAAGAAAAATGAAATGCTCGATTCGGAGGAACGCGTTCCAAATCAAAGAAATGAAGTACCTTATGATGATGGTATAAATACAGACAATGAAAATCATGAGATCTCAATTAATTATATCAGTAATGGTACATTATGGAGTCGAAAAGAAATCAAAGAGATTGATGATATATTCTCTTATAATGTATCAAAGGAAATTGATGAAAATGAGGATCCAGAACCAAGATCCATTTCAGAGTGTCAAAAGAGACCAGATTGGATTAAATGGAGAGACGCAATACAGACTGAATTGGATTCGTTGAATAAGCGAAATGTATTCGGACACGTCATTATTAAACCGAAAGAGGTTACTCCTGTTGGATGTAAATGGGTATTTGTACGCAAAAGAAATGAGCACAATGAAATTGCTAGATATAAAGCTCGTCTTGTCGCACAAGGTTTCTCACAGAGACCAGGAGTTGATTATGAAGAAACTTATTCTCCTGTTATGGATGCGATTACGTTTCGATACCTAATTAACCTTGTAGTTTCAAAGAACTTAGAAATGCGTCTCATGGATATTGTTACTGCTTATTTATATGGGTCACTTGACACAAACATTTATATGAAAATCCCTGAAGGATTTAAAATGCCCGAAATATTGAAATCAAAACCACGAGAATTATGCGCTGTCAAGTTACAACGATCATTGTACGGGCTAAAACAATCAGGACGTATGTGGTATAAACGTCTGAGTGAACATTTAGTGAAAAATGGATATACAAATAATCCTATTTCACCATGTGTGTTTATAAAAAGGACGATGTCTGGATTTGTGATTATTGCTGTCTATGTTGATGATTTAAATATCATTGGAACTCCCCGTGAAATTCAGGATGCATCCACCTATTTAAAAGGAGAATTTGAGATGAAAGATCTCGGACAAACCAAGTTTTGTCTTGGATTACAAATAGAGCATTTGAATACGGGAATTTTTCTACATCAATCTAATTATACAAAAAGGGTACTAAAGCGGTTCAATATGGATAAGGCAAATCCCCTGAGTACTCCAATGATTAATAGATCATTGAATGTTGAAACAGATCCATTTCGCCCTCGTGAAGATGGTGAAGAGACACTTGGTCCTGAAGTACCATATTTAAGTTCAATAGGGGCTCTTATGTATCTTGCCAACTGTACTCGACCTGATGTAGCATTTGCTACTAATCTGTTAGCAAGATATAGTTCAGATCCTACACGAAGGCATTGGAATGGGATTAAGCACATTTTCCGTTATCTTCAAGGATCGATCGATTTGGGATTATTTTTCCCTAAAAGTACAAAACAAGAAATTGTTGGTTTTGCAGATGCAGGATATTTATCTGATCCACATAAGGGAAGATCACAAACAGGTTATATCTTCCCAATCAATGGAACTGCATTAGTTTGGCGTTCTCAAAAGCAAACATTGGTTGCTACGTCATCTAATCACGCAGAAGTTATCGCGCTACATGAAGCAAGTCGGGAATGTGTCTGGCTTAGATCTTTGACTCAACATATCCAGACAGCTAGTGGATTATCAACCAATAAAGCTCCAATAATATTATTTGAAGATAACGCTGCATGCGTTGCACAGACTAAGGGAGGATATATTAAAAGTGATAGGACAAAACATATTCCTCCGAAGTTCTTTGCATACACCCAAGAGCTGGAAAAGAATAAGGAGATTGAAGTCAGATACATACGATCATGTGATAATGCAGCAGACCTATTCACAAAAGCTCTACCGACATCAATGTTCAAGAAACATGTACATAACATTGGAATGCGTCATCTACGAGACCTTTGATCCGATATACAGGGGGAGCGTGGAACTGCACTCTTTTTCCCTTATCAGGTTTTATCCCAAGGGGTTTTACTGATAAGGTTTTTAACGAGGCAGTATAAGACACGCAAATACATTTTGATTAACCGTAGCTCCAAGGGGGAGTGTTATAAATGAATAGTGAAGCTACGGTACTGTTCACGCAGCCGGACACTGTTCACGCAGCCGGGTACTGTTCACGCCGCCATACGGTTACTGTTCATAAATATGTATACGTGAACAGTAACTTCGGATTTTCTATAAATAGCTCATTTCCCTCCTTCATTTGTACATAATTCCAAGAAAAGAAAATTATTGAAATCTTGTTCCTGAATCTCTCAAACGATCGATTTCGGTTTCTAGTTAACGATCTGATTCTCGGGTCTTCTATATTTCTTCGTTTTTCATAACATAGTCAAATTTATTCATTCATTGGATAATTACTCATTCATTCAATAAAATAATCCATCTTTTTCCACTGATATACTTTGTGAAGACAACTTTATATAATCAAATTGATAATCAATTTTTGGATGATTATCTAATTTGTTTTATCGAAAAATATATATTTCATACAATTATAATTAATAAATTTATTGTGGATAGATTTTAAGAAATAAAGAATCGTAAAATTCAATTATAAAATATAAACATTTTGTGACAATATATTATTATTTGTTTTTTTATAATATATGTAAATTAGTTATTGTTTTCTGATATTTTTTTCAATCTCTTATCTATAAATGGTATTGACAAATGAATATTTTTAGTAAATATTAATTAAAATTAGGTAAAATTAAAATAAGTTGGACCTACGGATTATTCTTTTCTTTCCTTCATTGTCTTATTATAATATTTATCGGTATGAATTTAATAAAAAAAATATAGATTATTTGTTTAGTAGAGAAAAATATATATTTTATTAATTTTTTTTATAAATTTGTATATTTTTATTTGTTTAGTTTTCTTAATTGTTATATTTTTTTACTTTATTTATTATTGTTATACCAATAATTTATTCGTTATTTTATTTATTTAATAAAATATCATTATTTTTAATAAAAAATTATTGTTATTTTAAATGAAATATATCATGAAAAATGATTTCAAATTAAAATATTCTTATACTTTTAATTTTAAATTAATATGTTTAATATGATTGATATAAAGTTTTATAAGCCAATTATAATTTAGAAAAATAATGAATGATGACTTGACTTTATTAAATCGCTTTTGGTCTCTTTATTTATATATAAAATTTATATGCACAGGGATGTAGCTTATCTAATAGCTGAATATGAAGAAAAAAAACTCCAGATTATTTTACAATCCAACAAAAAAGTTAGTTTAGTCAAAGCGAAACCCTAGAAATAAACGGACTTAACAAAATTTATTGGGCCAGTGGAAAACCTAGAAACCTATAAATACCTGCGCCGATTATCTACTCGGTGAGAGCAGTGGAAGCTACTACGAATCGAAGATGAACAAGAGCCATGGAAGCAAATTGGAACCGACGATTCATATCTTCGTGAAGTCAGATAACAAGATCATGGGTTTCGACGTCAAGGAAAGCGACACCGTCTGCGATCTCAAGCGCATGATCCACGAAAGAGATCACAGTATTACCATCTTTACCTCTTTCGTTTTCAATTTTTTTTCCCTCTATGACCATGAATGATCGAAAGTTATTCTGTTTATTTGGCTCAGTTCTCCTGCCGGATCGTCAGATTTTGTTACGCTCCAGTAGGGAGATCGAAGATCATCGTCCCTTGGCGGACTACAGAATCCATAGAGGTTTTATCCTCTTCTCATCGACTATTAGGATTTAGGGTTTTGCTTCGCGTTCTGGATTTAGTCGATATGGATTGCTCTGTGATTCAGTAGTGAGATTGCATTGTAATTTTGGATTACTTCGATTTGTTCTTCAGACGCTACAATTCACGTTCATATGAGGTTTAGAAGAACTGAGCCATGTACGTTCTGCCGCATGTAAGTCTTTCCAGTTGCTTAAGTTCTGTTCCTTTTTTCATTTCTCGTTTCTATTCAATACGTACCCCTTGAATTGATGAGATTTGCTGTTGTATCGGTTATGGGATGGGATCTGTATAAAAGGGATTTGATGTTAGTCTTCCGATTGCTTAGTTGCTATTCCTTCGTTCGATTCGTGGTGAGATTTGTTGTTGTGTTCGGCGTGGGATCTGTATCAAAGGGATTTGATGTAACTCTTAGAATTGTTAAGTTGATGTTCCTTCGTTCATTTCGTTGTTGGATTCAATGCATACCCTTTTATCGAATGAATGAGTTTCGTCGCTGAGTTCAGTGTGGGATCTGTGTCAAAGGGGTCCCTTACCCTCTTATAGTGAGTGGACAGATAGAGAGATTCCATGTAAATTCCTTGTACCAAACTCAATCTATTGATTTCGCTAACTGTTGGCTAATAATTTACAGTTGAATTTCTTGAGTGGAACATCGATCAAATGGCTCTGTTTTTGTTCATCCCTTGTGCTCTGTCAAGAATTCTGCATTTTGTGTTGCATTAGAGCTTTCTAAGCAGTAATAAGTACTTATATATATGTGTATGTATGTATGTATATATTATATCCATGGAGTTATTGTCAATTATGATATATTGTTGCAACCCTACAACTTTAGTATATCGATCGGGTTGGATTGCCGATTACATCTCCTGTAACTCAGTTCTGAAGGCATATATTTTCTTTGGAAACAATCGCATGTTCTAGATATTAAGCTTTTATAATGTTTATGTGAAAGAGGTGAAGAAGAAATGTGGTCACAGCAACCAGGTCTGATTTTCTTTTTTCTTGTGAATTTATTTATGGCTTATCTTTTTTTCGTGTTTTAAAAATCTATATATAATCTGAATGGTAAAATGTTGGCAACTTAAAATGGGTATTTTCTTGTAAATCTGATGCAACTGAGGTCTAAAAAGAAGATCAACTGAGCTATATAATCTTCCACTCAAACCGCCATGGATTTTTTTTACCTATTTCCTAATTCCTATTGCACTATCAGATTGCTTTCATTATTTGATTTAATTCTTTATCGTTTCAATCATTAAGAACTCGGGATTAGTTCATGTTTTGGTTGAATTAGAGTTTTTATTTTGATTGATTTTTTCTCTTATTGTTGTGTTGTCCAAGAAGGGTGACCTGGCTCAGTGGTAAAACGATTTACCGTAGGGTCTGAGGTTGCGGGTTCGAATTAGCCTCCCTTTATAAACGTAGGGGTAAGGCTGTCTAGCATATTCCTTTCCTAGCACCCCACTAGATGGCGATACGAACTTGGTTGGTCCTTTTATTGTTGTATTGTCCAAAAGTTCAATTTGGTTAATAACCGATTTGACCCTAATAATATATAACCTAATTTATATTGAATCCAAAAAAATATAAAAAGTTATATTTTTCAAAAAAATGGAAAGACATTGGAATCGAATATGAAGAAGGAGAGCAGTGGAAGGAAAGAGGAACCGAAGATATCTTCCCTTTTATCGAATTGATGAGATTTGATGTTGTGATGGGTATGAGACCTGTACAAAAGGGATTTGCTAATAGTCTTCCCATTGCTTAGTTGATGTTTTTTCATTCTATTCGTGGTTGTGTTCTATGTATACTCTTTTATCGGGTGAATGATTTTTTTTTTGTGTTCGATGTGGGATCTGCATCACAGGGATTTGATGAAGAAGGAGGGTAGTGGAAGGAAAGAAGAACCGAAGATAGAAATCTTCGTGAATTCCCCATCTTCCAAGATCTTGGCTTTCGAGGTCAAGGGCAGCGACACCATCTACGCTCTCAAGTGCATGATCTATGGAAGAGACTGTATTATCAATGTTACCTCTTTCGTTTTCAATTTTTTTTTCTATGACCATGTTTGATCGAAAGTTTTCTGTTTTTTTTTGTTCAGTTATCCCACCGCATGAGCAGCGTTTGACCTTCAGCACAAAGTGGCTTGAAGATCATCTTACCATGGCCGACTGCGGAGTCCTTCAACGTTTTTATCCTCTTCCCATCGAATATTAGGATTTAGGGTTCTAGATTTAGTCGATATTGATGGATCGCTCTGAGATTCAGTAGTGTAATTGCGTTGTAATTTTAGACTACTTTTATTTGTTCTCCAGATTCCACGTTTCAAGTTCTTTTGAGGCTTAGAGGTTGTGTCACTGAGCCATGTTTCATGTCACCGGCTCATAGCTACAATCAAGACAAGACGATCGGCCGCAAGTAAGTCTTTCCAATTTCTTAATTTTTTTCCTTTTTTTGGTTTCAATACATACCCTTTTATCGAATTGATGAGATTTGCTGTTGTGATGGGTATGAGACCTGTTCAAAAGGGGTTTGCTAATCATCTTCCCATTTGACGTTCCTTCATTCTATTCGTGGTTGGGTTCAATGTATATCCTTTTATCGAGTGAATGAATTTTGGTTGTTGTTGTGTTTGGTGTGGGATCTGTGTCAAAGGGATTTGATGAAGAAGGAGAACAGTGGAAGGAAAGAGGAACCGAAGATAAAGATCTTCGTGAATTCCCTATCTTCCAAGATCATGACTTTCGAGGTCAAGGGCAGCGACACCATCTATGCTCTCAAGTGCATGATCTATGGAAGAGACTGTATTATCAATGTTACCTCTTTTGTTTTAGTTTTTTTTTTTTCTATGACCATGTTTGATCGAAAGCTTTCTGTTTATTTTGCTCAGTTATCCCGGTACATGAGCAGCGGTTGACCTTCAGCACAAAGTGGCTCGAAGATCATCTTACCATGGCCCACTACAGAGTCCATCGAGGTTTTTGTCCTCTTCCCATCGAATATTAGGATTTAGGGTTCTAGATTTAGTCGATATTGATGGATCGCTCTGAGATTCAGTAGTGTGATTGTGTTGTAATTTTAGATTACTTTGATTTGTTCCTCAGATTCTACGTTTCGAGTTCTTTTGAGGCTTAGAAGTTGTGACCCTGGGTCATGTTTCATGTCACCGGCTCATAGCTACAATCAAGACAAGACGATCGGCCGCGAGTAAGTCTTTCCAATTTCTTAATTCAATACATACCCTATTATCGAATTGATGAGATTTGATGTTGTGATGGGTATGAGACCTGTACAAAAGGGATTTGCTAATAGTCTTCCGATTGCTTAGTTGATGGTCATTCATTCTATTCGTGGTTGGGTTCAATGTATACCCTTTTATCGGGTGAATGAGTTTTTTCTGTGTTTGGTGTGGGATCTGCGTTAGAAGGATTTGATGCAACTGTGACGATGATAAACCCTTTAAAGAAGAAGAGGGCTGAACCAGAGGAAGGTACACAGGGGTCTCCAGATGAGGAGGAGTAGGTAATGCAGAAAAGGGGAGAAGCAGAGGAATAATGCTGTGGGTATTTTCTGTTATTAAGGAATCACGTAGGTGTTGGTATTTTGTGGGGGTGGGGTGGGCCTATATCTATTAGGTTTTCTCTTTTGGGTGGGTCTTGAGTCTTGTGTGAGGAAGAGAGGGTTTGCCTCTTGGTAAAATACAATTGGTATTTTATACATTTATTCTATCTATATCCTAACAGACGATGTTTCTTTGTTCATTTCGTTGTTGGATGTTTGGTGTGGGATCTGTATCAAAGGGACAGAGAGACATGTCATGAAAATTTCTTGTTCCATGAAGTTATTGCCAATTATGAAATGCCATAGATTGTTGCAACCCTACTGCTTTAGTGTATCATATCCTCTAGTTGGATACTCTGATAGATTAATGTAAAGATAATACTGATTTTGTATTCCGAAACACCACTCTCTTCCTCGATAACCCAAAACATAAAGGAAAGATAGCTAAATATTGGCCCTAGCTACACAATTTGCTAAGCTGGCACCATGATGGATTTTTTTGTCCTAGTGTTGTCCAACAGTCCGACTTGGTTAATAACCTAATTGTATTGAATCCAACACACACACAAACGAAACGTTATATTTAAAAAAAAATGAAATTGAATAACAAAAGTAAAAAAGTGGGTATTCTTTAATTAATAAAAAGACGGAATATAAATCGAATCGAATTAAAAATGAATTGGATTCAATATAAAACTGAAATAAACATCCAAAAATGACCACACATAATATAAAACCATGCTCAGTCTGGTTCAGTTCATTTTTCTGATACTGCTTTTTTGTTTTTGGCAACATGGTCTCCTCGCAATAAATCAGAGATTAACCATCTGGATACAATTTTATCTATATATAAATGTAATTCGTATTTCTCAGATATCATCAGAGGAACGAGGTTAAATTTTCAAGCATCTTAAATGGGCCTTGAAGTGGGCCTGGTACTGTTATTGGGCCTGGCTCAATGGTAATATGTACAATATCAGGCCTAAACTAAACGACACCGTTTTTTCCCATTTGTATTCCAGGATTTAGTTTCGAAAGGGTTTTTCGGAATCTGAGTGAGAGACTCGTCGTCGTCCAACCCGCGAAACCCTAATCTCTCATTTCTTCGGTTTCTGCCACCATGAGCCGATCAGGACAGCCCCCGGATCTCAAGAAGTATGTTCTCTTTCTCCGTTTTTCTTCCATTTCATTTTCGATTCTCAGTTTTCTTTCTTCCTGGATTACTTTGAAGTTTTCCGTCTCTGATTTCTCTTTCTCGTTTTGTCTTCTTTTGAATGCAGGTACATGGATAAGAAACTTCAAAGTAAGTTTTCACCTCCTCCTCGTTGTTTCCATCTCTGATTTCTCTCTGATTTGCTGTTATCTTTTCATATAAATCGACGCAGTGCTAAAAGTTTGTAATGCATAGAATCCAGGATTTAGGTCAATTTTTTTTTTGTTCCGTTTGCTAAATCTGATGTAATCTATCTAAATTGTTACGAGCAACGTACCTGGGCACAGTCCTAGTTCACAGTTTTGCTTAATGGGATGGCTTATTTGGTCTCAAGATTTTTGCAATCAGTGGTTGTTTTCCCTCTCTGCTTCTGATTTCAGCTTTCAGCAACATACTTTACTGGTTGCATTAATGGTGCCCAATAGTGGAAATTGTCATATTCTTCATGTTTTAGGTATGGATGAAATCCGATATAAAAGTTTGTTCCTTTTGTCGATGCAGTCAAGCTCAACGCTAACCGTATGATTGTCGGGACTCTCCGTGGGTTCGATCAGTTCATGAATCTTGTTGTGGACAACACCGTGGAAGTGAATGGTAATGAGAGAACCGATATCGGCATGGTGGTATGTCTCTTCAACTGTCAACTTGTTTTCTCCAAAATACACTTGGAATCACTTCAACATTTTGATAGTCCTGAAATCATTTGTTTGAGCTTTATTTCATTGTGCAGGTGATAAGGGGAAACAGTGTTGTCACAGTTGAAGCTCTTGAGCCAGTGGGCAAATCTTAAAGCTTTATTTATGTCCATCGGTAATCATCTTTTTGTAATATGCACTCTCCTTTCCTTCCTCTGCTGCCTGTAACGGAACCTAGTTGAATTTCGGAATTAACTGACGATAATGAACCTTGTCTGCGTTCCAAGACATCGGTATGAACCCCTTATTAAACATTCTGATTAGTTGGATGTAGATACTAATCACATGATCATAATGCTAGCGGAATTGTTACCGTTCTCTCCCGGAATGCGGAATTTGCGTCGGGAATCTGTTTTCATGGGTTCTTGCCTAGAAGAAAGATCATAAGTGAAGCTTAGCATGTAATCTGTAGCGTGAGTAATGTCGGATTTGCTTCTACTAGACCGTGATTACGTAGCTTCTTTGGTGGCATTACCGATATTTGCGGAAAAATTTTCAATTACCTACGGCGAAAATGGAGCAGGGTCTTACACTGCAAGTGTTGGATAAGTTCCCACATTGTGGGGATTTAAATTTGTAAACGGTCTGATGATGATGATGATGATGATGATGATGATGAACTTACATATCGACCAATAACCAGATAATATAACAGAGTTTCATGTTACATGGCCATAAATACATACGTGTCAATACATTTATTTCCCCCCTTCGTAGGATATTTAAACAAAAGAAAGCTAATCACTCCTCTCGTTCATGGCGTCAGCTTCTATCTCTCTCTGGGAATTGCAAATGTACCTTTGCCTGAAAACTTCAATCTCCTTTGCCAATTTCTCAGCTGCTTCCTGCATTCTGTTCTGAGACTCTTTCATCTGACCAGAAACCTCTCCGACACTAACTGCAAACTCCAATGTCTCGGCCTCACAACAAGCTATCTGTTCCTCTGTCTGAACGAGAAGTTTCCTTAGACGATGAGCTTTCTCATGGAGCGACTTCAGTTGCTTGTATGAACCCACAAATCCACTGAATGCTTCAAAGCATCTCAAAGAAACAGTCTCGAAATTGAACTTCTCGGAGTGGTACTGCTCGATTAGGTCAAGCAAGGAGGGAGCATTTGCGAATGGAAGCACGGATAAAGGTTGATGCTTTACAGCTTCTTGGATGAGGTCTGAGTTGTTAGTCTCGTTGCTAGTGGTTTCATATTCATGGGTTGAGAGCAAAACACTCACTGCTTCATCCTCCACCTCCCATTCATAACTCTCCTTACTTGTGAACTCTGAAAGATCGCCATTTGTTAGCTGATCGCCTTCCACGGGCTCTCCATGCTCGACATCTTTTAGGGTTTGTGAGTCTAGCACTTCCTCTTCGGTTTCATGGTGAATCGCATCTACACATGCCCACAATCAGATCAAATGGAGGGAAGAATACAAGTTAGATTCAGTGGAGAAGGAAAAAAAACCATTCTACTAGAAGAACGCAATGCAAGCAAAGACCTTTTTAAGGACTTGATTTGCAGCATCAAGGCAGAATAAGTTGACAATCGAGGTATGTGGAAGCAAAGAAAAGCCAGAAATCAGCCATAAGTACCTTGGTGGTTCATGCCAAATGCAGCAGATGAAGTGATTTCCCGGCTGTTCGATCTCGAATTAATCGGGTTTGGCTCCTCCATTCGGATTTCATTCCCAGCGACGAAAACTGGACATTCTTTGTCGGGTTTAAAAGAAGAAACATGATGTGTTGCGTCTGTCACTTGATTAACTTCATTCACCTCAAAGGGTATCGACGGAGTGAATCCATTGGCGGGAGAAGTAGTCTCGGCCACAACGTTTCTGGGGCTTCTACCTTCCCCGTTTTCACAAATCATATCAGTTTCCGCTCGGTAATTCTTTTCGTCTACTGAACCAGAACCCGAAACACCACTAGAGGGAGAAGAAGAACCGTGATGCCCTTCTCCAGGTTCAGATGGGATTTGGGCATCTTCCCACTGGAAAAATGCACAAGCCCCGAAATTCTACAACCAATCGAGATCAAATCCATTCAAACAAGCTCCATTATCCAGAGATGTCCAGAAGAAAACCCATAACACCAGTAAAAAAACACTCTGACAGGATCCTAAACAACAGAACCATGTCGACGAAGAACAAGAATCTGGGCAGTCGAACAAAATTGAAACAAGTTCTTAACTTAAAAGTTCAGGGCACTGCGATCGATTCAAGGGTGAGGGTTATAACCTTCTTTATGCCGCACACGAAGTATGATCTACCGGCGTCGGGTCCCGACTGCAGTGTCTCCCTTCTGCAAGGTCCAGAACCACAAGGGCAGACCGGTCGGGGCAAGATCTTTCTGTCGGTCGGCCCATCATACCATTTGAAGAACCCGCATTGCTCGGACTGCATTTCTCAAAAAAAGATTTCAACCCAAAGGAGCATAAATCGTCAGCGAAACCAGAAACCAAGTGACGAGGATTTCGGGAGAGAAAGAGTGAAATACTAACAGAAGGGCAGGTGTAGAATCTCCGGCCAGGGTTCTTCGGGGTCTTCGAAGCCAATAACCTGCAGAATCCGGCGCCACATCGGCAAGGAATCGCCGGCGGGGAATCGGCGGGAAGATGAGGGACGTTGGCCTTGAAACAGTCGCCGCCTTGCATTGTCCGGAGCAGTTGGGGTCGGAGGTGGGTCGGAAATGGTGGCGATGGTGGTGTTATCGGCGTCGCGTTATTCTCACGCGTTCGTCAACGTCTCTTTCCACATCATTGTGATTGTGATTCTGATTCTGATTCTGACTCTCGAGACTTTCACCACACTTCCCTCTTTTCTGTCAAATTTTTTGGCTCGTAGTGATAATGACATTAGATTCGGTGTTCCGTACAACAAAGATATTGGGCCTAATTTGGGCTGAATAAGAACAAATCCAACCAAAAGATCTTTCTGGGCCCGTTGGAATCTTTTTTCTTGAATTCTCTTACATTTATTGATATAATGATTCAAAACAAGCCATAAAATAAATAAATACAGATTAAACGATGCCAATGATTTTCGTAATAAATTGGGCGAATCGAAATTAATATTATTTTTGTTTCAAGAGGCCAAAATTTATCTTTGGATATATATATATATATATATATATAGTATTATTTTAGTTATTTTTTTTAGAGAAACCGAATTCTCGTAACAAAATGAAATGAGCAGATTAACCGTAAATATAATTAAATAGATAATTTTAACTAATTTCGCTGTACGATTTTACATAAATATTTCTGTAAGCCAAGCCGTAATATTATAGTGATCGTGGATACGATTTCAGCAGAAACAATAAATTTATCATATGTTGTCGATTTTATTTTGCCGATCGAATATTTGATTTTTTTTCCAAATGTTCTGAATCAAATCATAGATATTCTGAAAAGAAATTGTGTATTTAGTAAATATCTGATCCAACCGACCTCTCGCGTATTGAATCCAAAAGTAGATCGACGAACAACAATCTAGTGTGGACCGACGTTTTACTTGATTAGCTCACCTATTATATTCAATTTTGAAAAACTATAACATAAAATGATAACCGCGTTTGAAATTTGAAGAACTTCAAAGATAACGAAAATAAAAGAACCATAGATTTTTGGAGCGATTTCTGTATATTTCCTAATGTTCAGAAGCCGATATGAAATTTAATGGGGTTAGCTAATCTGAAATTTGTAATCAAACCCTAGAACACAAACCAACTTGCATAACCGGAGTTCAATAACCGAGTCTTAAATAACCGGTTTTGCTCCACAAACCGGTTGTTATCGATCGAGACAAGCAAGGAAGCAGCAAATAATGCAGATGTAAAATAAAGAGCACGAACTCTATGGTGGGAGCGACACGAAGGGGTCATTTGATCGTACGAACGAACATGAAGGCCTCATCAGTTCCACTTCTCCGTGTTCAACGCTTGTCTACACGATCTATTCTCCACTCATTTCATCTATCATATCACATCCTCTTTCACTATCTCCCATCTTTTTTATTTTCTTTTTTTTCATATATCCCATTTACAAAGATTTGTTATGAATTACCCTATTTTTTTTTAAAAAAAATAATCATTTTTTAAGATATATATTCTTTTGCTCGTATATAACAAAATACGGGAAATGAAGAACCCCTTCTTTATGTTCATATATATATATATATATATATAAACAAGTGAACCTCGAACGACACTGCCAAAAAAAAAAAATATGGCTATCGCGATGAATGGGAAACGAAAATCAGTTTCATCGTCGACATATATACTACGTTGCAACATGACGATGTGTCAAGATTTTCAGAATAAAACCTTGTATTATTCATCCAATCAAATAATGCATATATAGACTTAGATATAGAGTAAACATAATTCTAATAGAAAACTATAAATTAGTATTATTAGGACAATAGCGCTAATTCTATTAAAAATATAATTAGATAACTCTAATTTTTCATAACTCTCCATAATTTCCAAACTTCAAAAACTTTTGAAAAAGAAAATCTGCAGCTAAATAGTGCCGATCAGTATCTCTAAACATCCACTTTGTAAGTACGATATTTTTACTTTATTAGATTAATCGTTTAATATAATTAATTTAGTTACAAATTTATATGGTCTCAAAAAGTTGTACACTTCTATATCTTGGAAATTTATATTCAACCTAAACTAATTTTACTTGGTCAGATTAGAAATTAGCAAATAATATGGATTCCGGTACATACTTGTTACTTTTGTTTTATTTTTTAATTATTTTACCGTTTTTTATGTTATATTTTTTATATTTTATTTTCACATTAGATTTCTATTAAAATATACTAATATTTTAAAGAAATCTTAATTTGATTCGATTTTTCCAATTATTTCGACTTTGCCAGCTTTGTAATCAATTCAATTTGATGTGGTTTATTATGATTTTTTAAAACCGGTTACGTAGTGTTCTGCTCTCTAATTTCACCCACAAAAACTCATCATCATAGGACAATATAACTATGTTTTATGCTTTATAATAGTTATTCCCTTGTTTTTTATTTTTCTCTGCCACTACATCAATTAAAAAGAATTAGGGTTAGGGTTTTCTCTGTTATTTAAATGGCAGTGAGGACGACAAACCCAAGATCCAGGTTACTGCAATCCGAGTGTCAGCCGCTGTTTGCTGCTGGAGCATCATCAAGATTCACAACTCAGAGAAACCTCTTCTGACAACACAGATATATCCATATATGTGTATATATATATATATATGCACATCGATCTATATATATATATATATATATATAATCGGTTTTCTTTGGTGTATATGTGAATGAGAATCTTGATGATGCTGCAGCTGCAATAAGTAGCTACTCATATATCACACACACACACATATGTATATATTTATATACACGTGATAAGTATATCGAGAGGGTTCCATAGGTATTGATCAAGAGCACCAAGAACACTGACATTCATGACAAAAGGGTTTCGCAGTTTCGAGTTCTTGTCAGAATCTGCCAGATCAGCTGATAAGTAGATCCAAGATTTCTGTTGAGATAAAAGCTCGGCATGATCGATTTCTTTCTTTTTTCTTTAATTTGCAGCTGCGATTAAGGGTTTGCTTGAGAGAAAACCCTGATTTGGTATGCAAAAAATATTAATTACGTATGTGGGTTTCTGATCAGATGGTGATGCCGAAGATACAGATCGTGAATACAATTCCATCAGTATCGATTGATTCTTTTCCATTTATTCTAAGATTATCTGATCAATTAGGGTTTTATTTAAGTCCTATTTTGCAAATATTTTCTAACAAAAAGGTATTTAAGGTAATTTTTTCTTCAGTAACATATTCATGGGATCCATCCATATGTAATTATGTCTGTCATTTTTGCTATCAGATCTGTGAAAGAGACGTTTCTTTTTCTTCTTAATTATGTATAAGATATCCAAGTTTAATTAATTTTATATAACCAGTACTATCCTTTTTTACTTCTTTTATAGCAGGGATGTCGATTACAGAATTTGTCCGTACAGAGACCCTCCATTTTTTCAGGTATCATTTCTCTCTTGCAGGTAGCAAACAATTGTTTTGATAGTAATTATCACAATGTGTTCGTTTAAATGAACTCGTTCGGGGTCTAATGATGCATAATAGTTTACTTCTTTTTGGCCAATCTATGTATAGTGTGGTTGCATCTTTGTTTTGGCCTTTCAATAATAGACCCTAGTTATAATTATATTTTGGATTTGTCATATATATAGACGTAAATATATTGAAGTTTCCTCATCTTTAATTCATCCAAATTTTGTCCAAGAGATTTCAAAAAGACATACTTGGCGGAGGTGTGGCGAAACTCGTACATTATTGGTATTGTATATGGGAGACATCTCAGTTATCAATGATGATAAGAGAATGATTGTTGGTGTGAAAGAGCACATACCAATTACGACTCTTGGCAGACTTTCTAGATAGGAGTGATGGGTGGACGAATAATGCACGGGAATGAGAGGAATTCGAGGGATATACATGTATGAAACTATAGTGTCAGCGATAATTTAAAAAAAAATTGATTGCGCTGCTTATACTAATAAGATGTATTTTTTTTTTATTTGTCACGAGAGAACTACAAAGTTAAATATATTTGTTTTCGATTGGTCATGGGATGAGTGATTTCATGTATTTCTTAAGATGTGTGTGAGTGAGAACAAAACATATAAAAATATCTTGTATTGGTCGGTGGAAACAATTTCAATCGTATGTAACATTCCGCGCGAATGTTACATCATATGCATTGAAGAGGGAATAGTTTGAGATGCTTTGGAAATGTGAAAGTTGATTTGGGCAAGAATAACGAGTCATTTAACATTCAAATATGGTCAGCCAGCCGTTGTGATTGATATGTAAATCAATCTTTCATATTTGCCTTTTTTTTGTGTGTGTGTGTGTTCATATATGCAAGACGTAATATCAGGCAAAATAAGAAAAAAATATATGGGAAATGAGCTCCTCCCTTCATTATTTTATCGTCTTTTCATTCTAATACCAAAATAGAAGATTCAATCTTCATTTACACGTTTTACATCTCTCCGTACACTCAACCACTTGTTCTTTTTTTTTTCTTTATCACAAAATCCCAAACACATATTAATAAAAAAAAAATCTACAATATGGACTGTAATTGATTGCAAAGAATCTCCTTTGAGATGAATAAAGTGACATCTCTTCCTTCAAAAATAATTTAGTTAAACTTTTTTTTATATGTGAAGCTCGCGAGTGCTCCAACAACAATCGATTTCCACTTTCACAAACACACATATGAGTCTGTATTTAATCATGTCTGCATGCATGTACACTAAAATAAAAAATTAAATGCAAAAAATATGGCAAAGACAAAAAAAAGAGGTTCATTAGAAAATGCCCTTCACTTGTAGATTGGTAAACCTTGTCCTACATTACCTTTCGCGTTATATATATATATATATATGATTTTTGACATATGTAAGTAAAACCTAGTTAGAGATTTCATCTTGAACCGGAGCAAATTGAACCGAATTAATTAATAAAAAAAAACTAAATTCAAACCCGATTCGCCCATAGGGTTTGAATTTCTCTAACCAAAATTTATCCACTTGGAATTGAAACTGAAGCTGATAAAACTCGAATGGAACCCAATTGAATTGAATTTTAATTCATTTTTTTAATCCAAGCAAAACTTTCAAGTAGATTTTGTAGGTTATCATCAGTCCATCCATGTGAATAAAAATGTATGAATCCAATAAATTCGGGATGAAGAGTTGGGCCCAAAGAGATTTATGCACGCTACAACAACAGAGTTATTAAAGATCAAGGCCCAATCATAGTCTAAACATTAATTTTATATAAAAAAAAATGACTAATCTAATCTCCTTCGTAATCTGTTCTCTCGTCCTGGTACTAGGGGTGGGCGTTTTAACCCGTAACCCGGGGGTTTGGAGGTACTCGGCTTAACAAGTACCCGAATAAAGGGTACCCGAATATTAACGATGATGAGATCGAGTATTAATAAGACTAAGTTTTCGACCCCCGAGTCCGAGTGCGGGTTCAATTATTTTACAAGGGGTACCCGGGGGTACCCGATATATTTGTTAAAAATCTAAAATATACTTTATATCTATAATATTTTTGTCTAAATTATTCTTATTATTTATTAAAATACTTTTATTTTAGTTCAATTTTTTTATGTTCTAAACCTTTCTATACAAAAATTTCATCATTCCAAATGTCATTCTATGTAACCGAATCAACCATTCATCTCTCTCAAAATTTTACTCATCTCTCTTCATCGTGAATTTTTCTCTTTATACTTTGACCTCTCTCATTTATATTTTCTATATCTATCATTTTATAGTTCAAAATTTTATAAATCGTATGGGTCCGGGTACCCGCGAGTACAAGACCGAGAATCTCATTAAACCCGAGCTACAAGTACCCGGATTTTATGAAGCCAAGACTGAGATAATATTTTTGTAAAATCCGTAGTAATGAAGACGAGACAGGGTTTTCTAAAAATTGAGGGTACCCGACCCGTGCTCACCCCTACCTGGTACCGAGTTCATCGATTATTCCTACAACAAATAAAAAAAAACTAAACTACAAAATAATAATATTTAATCACAAAATTTTCAATAAATGCCATTTTCGTGTGAAATGAATCGTATAGGGAAGTGGAGCCTATGAATGACGAGTTTGGCCAACTGTCACGGGAAAGTGGTAGCTCTTGTCTCTGGTCAAACGGTTTGCCATCCCACCACCACAATCAATAATTACACTGTAGACGAATTCATAAAAAAAATTTATATGCATATATATGGTTTCTCTAATATTTAATTTGATATAACAGTCAATTACAAACTCGTGCTATCTGCATGTATATATATATATATATGAGAGTAAATTCATTCATTACCTTTTATATTTATTCAATACATTGACCAATGTGCAATAAAAATAAAAGGGAGCTTTAACATCGAAAAAAAGAACATAAACGAATTATACAAACCCGGCCGTAACCATTTACAGTACAAAAATAAATTCCAACACCAAAAAAAAAAAATCAAAGGCAGTGGAGATAAATTTAGCAGGCTTGTAATCAGTCATATATATATATACACATATATATATATATAAATCCACAAACATGCATGTAAAAATTACGCGAAACTTAATTTTCGAAAAATTAACTTCAATGGAAAAAAGGCTTGATAGTGCTGACCACCTTCTTCATTTGGTCCACGAACGACGTATACGACACCGTACCATCATTCCCCGCCAAAACCCTATACTTATCCTTCCTCGTGAAGTTAGTACACTCAAACCCTAACGTAGCCGCCAAGATTCTCTGTACGTAATTCGCCACGTCGTGAGGGCTTTTCCCCGACGAACACGTGGCCTCCACAGGAAGCTGGTTCAAGAACGTAACCTCGTACACCGGTCTAGGGTTCATGAAGAAGAAAATCGGGTCAAGACCTTTCCAACCTCTCGCGGTGGTCGCATGAAAGAATCCGACACGATAGTTCATCGCTACGGGAACGATCCTGTCCGTTAGCTCCGCGAAAAGGGCACTAAATCTCAGCAAGAACGGTTCGCGGCACGTGGTTCCCTCCGGACACACGACAAGATCCCCTTTGGACAGCTCCCGTTTGATCTTGTCAGCGTCGACATGTCGGATTCGGGTGAGTCTAACGGTCGGGATAGGAGATAAGATCTCGGATAATCTCGAGATCGAGTAAGTAACGGCCGGGATTCGTCGTCCGAGAACGTAGGACAAGACGACAGGGTCCATTAGGGTTCGGTGGGTGCAAACGAAGAGTACGCCGGAATTTCCACCGGCCGGATGCGGAAGAGGGTGGCCCTTGACGATGACTCGGCCACAGAAAATGTGAGAGACGTAAGGAATGGTCCATAGAGGGAGGAAGAAGCCGAGGAGGATACGGACCGTTGCGAGGAAGATTCCAAATGGGATCCAGAGGAGGATGAGCAGAGCGGTGCCCGGTGTCGGTCGTTTCACGAGGCGGCCATCGTGGAAGATCACTGGCTGTGGCTGCACCTTAAGGATCTGGTCTCGGCGGTTGTGGCTGCTCGGGATAGGTGAATGCATTTGTTCCTATATATATATATGTGTGTGTGTGTGTGTGTGTGTGTAAGAAAATGGTTAGCTTTCACAAAAAAATTAAAATGATAGTAATTAAATATGTAATGGAGTGCAATATTCTACAACAAAGTGGTCGTATGACGTGGATATAAAAAAAATGTGCATCTACAACTATTTCAAAACATATAATTTTGTATAAAACATTATATGTTTTACATCATCATCAATATTTTTTTTGTTACTGCTGTATGAAAGAAAATCGTGTAACTAACTATTTCAAGACATAATTGAGAATTATTGAAAGTTTCTCGTAATTCTGGAATTTAGATTGTAAGATTCAAAATATCAGTTTTGTCCTAATTGGAAATTTGTCAAACTTATTTACCACAGTTGTTTAATCATTACAAACTTTTTCTCAACGGTTAAAAACTGTTGCAAAAGTCCTAATAAACTATTGCAAATGGCCAAATTATTATTGTATTTTGATAATACAAGCAAAAACTTTGTATGTTTTATGCCTACCTCACATAGCGATAGGAAAGTTGTAGAACCTGTAGTAGTTGGTCTTCCAAGACCAAGGCGAGGTCTATTATCAATAAACAAATTACCAACCCGGTTCGAAATAGATCCGTCAATGTCGGTTTCCTTGATTAAACCGGTGGCAAAACCGAACCGGTTCACAACAAGCTCAGAACCGATGATGTCGTCAGCTTGGAGATGATCCTTTGCGAACCTCTCAGTCATAATTCGAGGCATTCTCGTCACCACGATCCTCTTCTCGTACGAGCTGAACACCCTCCAACCGTTCATGCTGACGTCATCCATGTAGAACTTTGGCAAAACGGCTCGAGCCACCGACTGGATCTCCGACTCGCGTAAACCGACAGTTGCGACGAAGATCATGAGCTTGAGGCTCAAGTCTCGGGCCCCAAAAACGTCAAGGAGTGCGATCACGGGCCATAGAGACAACAGGATGGTGAAACGGATCAAACCCGAAGATTCGAATGCAACGAGCATCAAGTATGAGAAAGGGTCAGGGTTTTTCAGTAATGTCCCTTCGAGCTCGGACACGACCGATTGGGTACTGTCCCTTCGAGCTCGGACACGACCGAGTGTTGAAATAGAAACAAAATATGGAGATTTGATATGATTGATAACAATTAAAGGCATAATATTGATTAAGAATAAAATATATATCGTGATAATTATATTTTGTCTTATTTGTTTCTTTCGTATCTTTATTTCCTTGTTTCTTTCAATAATTTTTCCTATAAATGTATGGATTATTTTCATTGTAATATAACAAGAAGAAGAGATGTAACAATAAAAGTGTTTCCGTTCTTTTATCTTTTGTTCTTTTTTTCTAATTTAATTTCTGCATTTTATTTTTCAATAACATGTTGGTCCTATCCATATTATTAAAGTTTGTCCTGTTTCTCAAACCGATTTAGCTGTCAAAACAAGAAACCCGAATTCAAAGATCAGACCTTTGGTGGAGCTAGCATGTAAGAAACCCTAGAACTGACCATATGTACGATGAATAAACATGAGGGAGAGAAAGAAGCTTACACAGGTTCGCATTCGCAATGTCATCTCTGTAGACAACCTTGTGTGATCTTGTCTTATGGTTTGGTAAAAGGACAGGGTTTGTACACTTTATCCCGAGAAGAGATGAAGAAACCCGATGTAAGCAAATGGTGGAGTCCACTGGTCTCTCTGTTTTTTTACTCTCTAAATGAATGAAATTTGGTTTATATGGATTGTTCTAATAACAGTGAAGTTTTTCATCATTTTGTTGTATCTTCAAGATTGATTTTTGAATTCTTTCAAAATCAATCTTGAGGGGGAATGTTGAAATAGAAACAAAATATAGAGATTTGATATGATTGATAACAATTAAAGGCATAATATCGATTAAGAATAAAATATATATCGTGATAATTATATTTTGTCTTTAATTGTTATCAATCATATCAAATCTCCATATTTTGTTTCTATTTCAACACGTAGAACTTGGCGATTTATCAGATTCACAACCACTTTATATACACAAACTCTCCTATATATATATATATATATATATATATATATATATATATATATATGCAAATTGCAATGAAGTCAATCATATTGATCGATCAATGAAAGGAAATACAATTATACATGTCACGTTTGTTAGCCTTTTTATTCCATGCACACAAAGGTACGCCACGTTAAATGCAGAGTAGAATAAGGGGGAAAAAATCATAGGAAAAAATAAAATTCTCTGACTTAAAACTCCACCAATATGGGCGGGCTACATGCAACAACGATATTAGACCACACGTATACCTAAAAATATGATGAGATTGAACTGTTTAAATTAAATTAGGTGACTGGCCTTTTCATAGTATATGCTTTTGGAATGTGTATATAGTATTGGCGTATCTTTACAAGTGCCTGTTGGCATTTTTTTGACATATCCATGCACGTGTCTTTAACAATGTATTACCCTTAAGACTAAAGTTATTTTTTGCCGTCCTTCGGGTCTGGTGTAGTGGTTAAAAGATCCATGTTTCTCCAAGAGGTTATGGGTTCGATTCCATTCTCCAGCGAGCTTGTTACCCTTTGGGTGGTTTACCTGTTCTACATGGTTTGCAGGCTATTACATGGAACCGGAGGGTTTATCACCGCGCCCGAAAGATTGTAGTTGGGTTCACGCCGTTACAAAAAAAAAAGTTATTTTTTGCCTTGTATGAAGCTGCCGGGAAAATTCAATCCTCTCTCTCTCTCTCTCTCTCTCTCTCTCTCTCTCTCTCTCTCTCTCTCTCTCTCTAATTATTAGAGAGTATATTAGAGATTATGTTTAATGTAAAGTATACAAGTAATTTTATCAATATTATTCTCTGTGAGAAAAAAATACCTGAATTTTTTTTACAACTATCTCTATTTTTCTTCATTTATCTAGGTTTAAAACATGATTTTAATAGGAGAGAACCCATAACACCACAAAATCTGCAATTCGTCGTTTGGTCAAGATTGTAATCCCATTCAAATTGATTTGCTCTTCTTCTTTCCTTAACAATAGCAACAGAGTGCTGTATATATGTCGACAATCATTGTTAATAAAATATCAGAGAATTACTTTTCTCATATGGTAATCAGAGCCTTTTGACGTCTCACGACGCAACTCTAATTTTTTTTTCCACCATCGACGCCCTCAAACTCCACCCAAATCTCGCTGCTACCATGGCCACCGAGAACACATCCTCTGATGCTACCGCCCCTTCTCCTGAAACTGTCACACCATTTAATGCCGCTAGCCCTCATTCCACGTTAATTAACGTGAACGTTACCAATGTAACCAAGCTAACCTCCATGAACTACATCACATGGAGTGTTCAACTCAGGGCTCTTCTTCAAGGATACAATTTGGAGAGTTTCCTTGAACCAACCTCGGCTCCTCCGACAACAATCATCTCCAACAATGCGACAACAACAAACCCTGCATACCTTCCTTGGTTCCGCCAAGACAGATTGGTGTTCTCAGCCTTGCTCGGTTCGGTATCGAGCACATGTCAAGCTCTCATTGCATCTGCAACAACCTCGGCAGCAGCCTGGGTAACCCTTGCTGAAACCTACGGCAGATCAAGTCGTGGCCATATCAAGCAGATCAAGGATCAAATTCGACGATACACCAAAGGTACACGATCAGTGGACGAGTATATGCACTTCTTTAAAGTGAAAGGTGATGAACTAGCACTTCTCGGGAAGCCGATGGATCCCGAAGACCTTCTTGATATGATCCTTGCCGGACTTGGAGAAGAGTTCAAACCAATCAAGGATGTTATCCAAGCGAAAGATACCATCATTTCATTTGCTGAGTTGCATGAAAAACTCATAAGTGCTGAAGTCGATCTCAGTTCACCGCAATCCGATCTCACTGAAGGACCGATTTCGGCGAACGTAGCTCAAAACAGGTCCAGACCTGCATGGCGAAACAATCAAAGGGGCAATACACAGAATTTCTGCTCGAACCGACCCACAAACACTCCTATACGTGGTTATCAAGGCAAGTGTCAGCTGTGTGGCATTCAAGGCCATAGTGCCAAGTTTTGTCGCCTTCTCAAGCAATCTCCAGGCTTTTCTGACATCAATCCCAGCCAATCCGACAACTCTCGCAATTCATGGCAACCAACAGCACATCATGCAGCGCTCTATTAAACAAGACTCGCATGATTCAAGAGACTCAAAGTCAAAAGAATCCAGAAGACCTTCAGAATGAAGCTTCTGTATGCGTTTCTCGTTTATATGGCCTAGACGACAATGCCAGAGGAAGGTCGGGTTTAA